GTGGTAAATATGCAGATCTGTCCTCACAGAGGAGGGAGAGCTTGTACCTGAATAAAACTTGGTCTTAAAGGTGCCACTTGACTGTTTTGGACTGGGGGGCCAGGGGGGCTCTGCAACTTACCTGGCTGCTTCTTGCTCTGACTGAGGGCTGCTGGGAGCAGGGGATGGGGCTTGTTGCATGTGCCCGCCCCCTGGGCTCCTTACTGCCGGAGCTCCGCTCCTGTGCGCTCCCGCAGGAAATGACCCCTGGAGACAACCCTTCCGGCCCTCCCTTCTTGTGATCTTCCCAAGAGGAAGGGAGATTCCCGGCTGATTCAGGAGTCAGTCTCTGGGCTGCTCCACAGTGGCAACGCAGACCCTTGGAGTTACTGTTACGCACCAGGCATGGAAGGTTTCTGACTAGCTTGCATAAAAAGGTTACAAGCCCCCCTCTGAGGTCTGCCCTCCCTCCCTCTGCCAGGCTGAGTTTGGCCTTGCCTTCCTTTTATTTATTTAAAGGTGCATGGAGTCACCTTTCCACCCAGGAAACCGAATGCGCCAGGTGGCGCGTGCACCGAACTTCCTTCCAGGGCCTGCTGCCACCACCTGCTCCCACGGTGCAGGAAAAGGGAGCCGGGTTTTCTTTTCTTTTTTTATTAAATAGTGGCACGCTTCAAGGCACAGTGCAATACACTTGGCTTAAAAAAAAAATTAAATATACAACTCCCAACATTCCCCCCCTCCCGCGTGCTCCAGACCACAAGTGGCGGGCCTCCGGAAACCACCGGAACTCCCGTGTCCTTTCCGTAGATGCGCAAGACGACAACCGGTGTCAGCTCTGGCGGCACGGAGGAGAGTTCTTCTTCCCCTCCCCCACCCCGCAAAGGAAGGAGAACCCAGCACCAGGCCGTTGGCACCAGCTTGCCACCTCCATCCAACAAGCCGGTCAAAATGAGATCTGAGATGGACGTTGCATCAAGCGCCAGCCGTCGGCTCTCAGGGTCCTCAAAAGCCCCGTGACAGCCACGGCGGCCTCTCCCGTCAACAGCAGCGTGCAGCCGGCTCGTCTCGGAAGCTTGGGGCCGTCCCGGCAAGCGGTAGGTCCATTTCATCTTTAAGCTCCAAGCGGCTCCATGCCAGTTAGCGCCCAAGAGCGGCGCCCTTTCCCCGCTTCAGATGAGTCGCTCCTCCGGAGGCAGCTTGAGGTTGGCGTTCGTCGCCACGCGGGCACCCACCTGCTCCTCGTTGCTCGGCCGGTACGTGCCCTCCGTCTGGCGCTTCTCCCGGATTTTGAGTCCCATGAAGACCAGGAGGCCGATCAATAGGATGACGCAAAAGACGGTCGGCACTGCGATGGCTGCTGCGAGCTCCGAGCTCTGCCCCGTGGAAACAGAGAGAGAGAGAAGTCACTGCCTGCCAGACAGGATGGGCACAGAAGTCTAAGCCACTTTGGTGTTGTGGTTAGGAGCGCGGACTCTCATCTGGGAGAACCGGGTTTGATTCCCGACTCCTCCACATGCAGCTGCTGGTGTGACCTTGGGTCAGTCGCAAGTTCTCTCAGAGCTGATCTCTCAAGGGCAGTCCTCAAAAGAGCTCTCCCAGCCCCACCTCCCTCACAGGGTGTCTGTTGTGGGGAAGGGAAGGGAAGGGAAGGGAAGGCGTGGACTATTGCAAAAGTGTCCGGCATCACCTCTGTGGGGCTGGGTCAAGGGAGGGTGGGGTTTGGGGAGGGGAGGGACCCGAGTGGACTGCCAGAGGGCCAGTGTGCTGTAGTGGTTGGGGCGACAGACTAGGATCTGGGAGACCCAGGTTCGAATCCCCACTACTGAAGAGAAGAAGAAAAGATTGGATTTATACCCTGCCCTTCACTACCCAAGGGAGTCTCAGAGGGGCTTACAAACTCCTTTCCCTTCCCCTCCCCACCACAGACACCCTGTGAGGTAAAAGAAGAAGAAGAAGAGATTGGATTTATACCCCACCCTTCACTACTCAAAGGTGTCTCAGAGCAGCTTACAGACTCCTTTCCCTTCCCCTCCCCACCACAGACACCCTGTGAGGTAAAAGAAGAAGAAGAAGAGATTGGATTCATACCCTGCCCTTCACTACCCAAGGGAGTCTCAGAGCGGCTCACAAACTCCTTTCCCTTCCCCTCCCCACAACAGACACCCCGTGAGGTAGGTGGGGCTGAGAGAGCTCTTGACAGAAACGGCTCCTGAGAGAACAGCTCTGAGAGAACCCTAATTCTGACCCAAGTCCCATAGCCCAAACCTGGCTCACTGCTTCTTCAGACCGTCATGATACCCATCCCCAATCTCCACTGATGGCACCAGAGAGAAGGGCGCTCCCCGTTTACCATCAAGAATTCTGTTCCTTCATTGGCCGATTCTGCATCTAGCATCCGCTCCGCATTTTCTCAACTGGGAGGGGAAAGTGACGCTCAAAACCACCTTCAGATACCCCGGGCCAACGCCGTACTGACTGCAAAGTCACCCCTGAATGGCCATAAATCTATGCAGACAGTACCATAAAACCCGATGATCAAAGAAAGTGAAAGCGGCATGGAGTGTGGAGGCTACCATAAAACCCAATGATCGAAGAAGGCGAAAGTGGCATGGAATGTGGAGGTTACCATAAAACCCGATGATCGAAGAAGATGAAAGGGGCATGTAGTTGTGGAGGCTACCATAAAACCGGATGATCGAAGAAGGTGAACACGGCATGGAGTGTGGAGGTTACCATAAACCCCAATGGTGAAAGAAAGCGAAAGCGGCATGGAGTGTGGAGGCTACCATAAAACCCGATGACTGAAGAAGGTGAACACGGCATGGAGTGTGGAGGCTACCATAAAACCCAATGATCGAAGAAAGCAAGAGCGGCATGGACTGTGGAGGCTACCACAAAACCCGATCGAAGAAGGTGAATGCAGCATGGAGTGTGGAGGCTACCATAAAACCCGATGGTGAAAGAAAGCGGAAGCGGCATGGAGTGTGGAGGCTACCATAAAATCCGATGGTGAAAGAAAACAAAAGCGGCATGGAGTGTGGAGGCTACCATAAAACCCGATTATCGAAGAAAGCGAACGCGGCACGCAGTAGTGCGGAGGGGAATTTCTGTTCCAAGGTGGATTTCGTAAAACAACGGGGAAACCAATGCAGAATCAGCCAAAGGCTCTCATTTTGTTTTTCTATTTACGGCAACTGCTTTTGTGTAATGGCGGGACATCAACACCTGGAGTGGCCACAGCAGGACAGGGCTGATGAAGGGTCGGATCCCCTTCCCCACATCCCTCCAGGGAGGCGGTGGATACCCAAAGCAAGGCCACCTCCTCCAGACACGCCCGCCACCCCTAGAAAGCGCTCAGACCAACGGACAAAGACAAGACGTACCGAAAGGTGATATCGAGCAGTGGTGGACGACGTGGGTTCTGCTGTGCTGTTGTCTACTCGATTTGAGAGGAGACAAAAAAAAATGATAGAGTTAGGAACAGCGAGGAAAAAGAAGGGCCGGTTTTGGGCATCATATCGCCACACATGAACACGCCTGGAACTGCCTTCTACTGAATCCATCACGGTCAGCATTGTCTACCCAGACTGGCAGCAGCTCTCCAGGGTCTCAGGTGGGGGTCTTCCCCGTCACCTCCTGCCTGATCCTTTTAACTGGAGATGCCGGGGATTGAACCTGGGACCTCCTGCATGCCAAGCAGAGGCTCTGCCACTGAGCCATGGCCCCTCTTTACAGCTCTCCAGGGTCTCAGGCGGAGGTCTTTCCCATGCCCTGCTGCCTGGTCCTTTTGACTGGAGATGCCGGGGATTGAACCTGGGACCTCCTGCATGCCAAGCAGAGGCTCTGCCACTGAGCCACGGCCCCTCTTTACGCTCTCCAGGGTCTCAGGCGGAGGTCTTTCCCATGCCCTCCTGCCTGGTCCTTTTGACTGGAGATGCCGGGGATTGAACCTGGGACCTCCTGCATGCCAAGCAGAGGCTCTGCCACTGAGCCATGGCCCCTCTGTACAGCTCTCCAGGGTCTCAGGCGGAGGTCTTTCCCATGCCCTGCTGCCTGGTCCTTTTTAACTGGAGATGCTGGGGATTGAACCTGGGACCTTCTGTGTGCTAAGCAGAGGCTCTGCCACTGAGCCATCACCCCTCAATGCCCCTAGCCTCATACTGAATCAGACCCCTGGTCCATCAAGGTCAGTATTGTCTACTCAGACTGGCAGTTGCTCTCCGGGGTCTCAGGTGGAGGTCTTTCCCACCACTTACTGCCTGTGACAGCACTTGAGGGAATTTAGAATTGGGTCTGCTATCGTTTGCACAACTGTAGTGAAGAGGAGGAGGAGGAGATTGAATTTATAACCCGCCCTTCACTACCCAAAGGAGTCTCAAAGCGGCTTACAAACTCCTTTCCCTTCCCCACCCCACAACAGAAGACACCCTGCAAGGTAGGCGAGGCTGAGAGAGCTCTGACAGAAACGGCTCTTTTTCAAGGACAGCTCTGACCAGAACTATGGGTTGCCCAAGGTCATCCAGCAGCTGCAGGTGGAGGAGTGGAGCATCAAACCCAGTTCTCACAGATTAGAGTCTGCGCACTTCACCACGACACCAAACTGGAGGAGATTGGATTTATACCCCGCCCTTCACTCGGAGTCTCAGAGCCGCTCACAAACTCCTTTCCCTTCCCCTCCCCACAACACACATCCTGTGAGGTAGGCAGGGCTGAGAGAGCTCTTGACAGAACTGTCCTTGAGAGAACAGCTCTGAGAGAACTACAGCTTGCCCAAGGTCACCCAGCAGCTGCGAATGGAGGAGTGGGGATTCCAACCCGGTTCTCCCGGATTAGAGACCGTGCACTTCACCACGACACCAAACTGGGCCTGCCCTACCTCCCCCGCCTCCGTCCTGGGAGAGACATGGTGGCTCTCCTTCAGACCGTCTCTGCTATCGCCCAGCCAGGACTGAAAGTGGCGCAACCCGCTTCCGGCGGCCCTCCCTTCTCTCTGCCTGCCAGAACCCACACCCTCCTCGGTCACGAGCGACTCAGCCGGAGCAACCTGCCGAGGCCACGCCCGGAAAGCACCTGGCTGGTTACAGGTGGAGGCGGCTGGGAACAGGCTCACGTCAAGGAGCCCTCGCTCCCTCGCCAGGATGCCACGCTCCGAGGAAGGGGAGTTTCAGTTCTGCTTTCGGGGAAACTCTGACTTCAGCCTGCGCCTGGATCAACAGGAAGTGGGCGTTTTAGGGCCCTTTCCAAGTGGCTGTCCGCCTGCTTTCCAGGAGGTACGAGTGACTGACCCCCCAACCCCCCCCCCCGAAACACCAGAGGCAAAAGAAAATTCAGTTCTAAAAATTATCTCTTCCGTATACTTGGATGCCGAATGTTTTGCAAAAGCTCTAAGAAACGGAAACATTTTAAAAGCTGAATTTGAGTCCGGTAGCAGCTGAGAAACCAACAAGATTTGGGGGGCTTCAGCTTTGGTGTAGAGCCAGTTTGGTGTAGTGGTTAGGAGCGCGGACTCTAATCTGGGAGAACTGGGTTTGAGTCCCCACTCCTCCACATGCAGCTGCTGGTGTGACCTTGGGCCATTCACAAGTTCTTTCAGAGATGTTCTCTCAAGGGCAGTCCTCGAGAGAGCTCTCTCAGCCCCACCTACCCCACAGGGTGTCTGTGGTGGGGAGAGGAAGGGAAGGAGATTGTAAGGAAGGAGAGGACCAGGTCGGTGTAGTGCTAAGAAGCACAGACTCTAATCTGGGAGAACCGGGTTTGATACCTCACTCTGCCTCCACAGGCAGCTGCTGGTGTGACCTTGGGTCAGTCACAAGTCCTCTCAGAGCTGTTCTGTCAAATGCAGTCCTCGAGAGAGCTCTCTCAGCCCCACAGCGAGTTTGGTGTAGTGGTTAAGAGTGGCAGACTCTAATCTGGGAGAACTGGGTTTGATTCCCCACTCCTCCACTTGCAGCTGCTGGATGACCTTGGGCAAGCCATAGTTCTGGTCAGAGCTGTCCTTGAAAAAGAGCAGTTCTGTCAGAGCTCTCTCAGCCCCACCTACCTCACAGGGTGTCTTCTGTTGTGGGGAAAGGAGTTTGTCAGCCGCTCTGAGACTCCCTTGGGTTGTGAAGGGCAGGATATAAATACAAGCTCTTCTTCGTCGTCTTCTTCTTCTCTTCTTCTTATCCAACAGCATGCACAGGCAGGCTTCCAGTTGGAGTGACTGTTTTGGAGATGACAGTTTTGAGATGTGCGTTTGACTGAGCGAACAATACCATGACGCTCAAGCTGAGGCAAGAGTCACCCGAGCACAAACCGGATTTAGAAATCCCACGCTCCCCATTTTCGATGGCAAAGGGCTCGTTTTGAAGAACTTACAAAGTTTTCAAATATTCCTCTCGCCCTCCAACTCCGGTCTGAAACCCAACCAGTCATTTGCCGCAATTGCACAGGGGAGGGGTCAGGACCAATGCTCCCTCTAAACTGTGGTGTCTTGTGAGCATAAATTTTACTTTGTGAGGTCCTGGCATTCAAGCTGTGAGAGAGCAATTCGGCTGCTGCGTAAGTTAGTTTGCTCTGGGGCCATCCCTTCCTGAGCGGAGACGGAACTGTGTGAGCCGGAGGCTAAAGAACTGTGAGCCGGCTCACACTAACTCGGCTTAGAGGGAACACTGGTCAGGACCGGAGAGGAAGGATCTGCGGCATTTGTTTCACAATTGAGGGGCGGGGAGTTGGGGCTCTGAAACCTTGGGGCTTTCCCCCCCCCTCGGAAGGAACTGTTTTGTTGATAGGGGGAAGGTGAACTGGAGTCACCCGGTGTTCTTTCTTGGCAAAGAAAGAAAGAAGGCATGAGACACAGCCCACAAGAAAGCGGGAACGCCAGGGCTTTTTTTGTAGAAAAAGCCCAGCAGGAACTCATTCGCATAATAAGGCATACCCAACAGTAGAAACTCATTAGCATATTAGGCCACACCCCTGACAGCACAGCTCATTAGCCCATTAGGCCGCACCCCCATGTTGCCAGAAGTGTGGTCATCCAGCCACACCCACCTTTTGCTTCTTATTCTGCTTACCTTGTTTGTTGTCAAAACCCAGGGCCTTTTTTTTTGTAGCAGGAACTCCTTTGCATGTTAGGCCACACACTCCTAATGTAGCCAATCCCAATGGGTTTCTGCTGTTGGGTGTGGCCTATTATGCTAATAAGTTCCTGCTGGGCGTGGCCAACTCAGGAGCCAGCGGGAACTCCGTTCCTGTGCGTTCCTGCCCAGAAATAGCCCTGGGGAACGCAGCCCAGAAACTCTGCCCCCCCGCCAACCCTCTTCTGGCCCCAAACAAAGGCTCCAACTAGCTCTCCCCTCCCATTAAGGTTGCCAACCTCCAAGTATTGACTGGAGATCTCCTGGCACTGCAACTCATCTCCAGCCAAGAAAAATCAGTTCGCCTGGAGAAATGGGCCGCTTTTGAAGGTGGGCTCTGTGGGCATGTATACCCCGCTGAAGCAGGCCCGTAGCCTGGATTTTGTGGCTTGTGGGGCAGTTTTCTTCCTGGTGGGGCTGAAGTCCTCCGTGCAGAAAGAAAAGCCATTCAGCCAATAGAAAGCCGTGACCCGGATAGATCTCTCCATTGCAAGCTGTCAACCACTTTAGATGACAGTTTGCAGCTGCTACAAGTTAATCCCTTCTGCCAGCCTGAGCAACAATTCTGAGAACAAGCCGGCAGGTGGGGGTGAGGACTTTGACAGTCAAGAAAACACTTAGGCAGAAAAATTATCTTAAAGGAGACTAGTTTCTTGACACAGACAGAGTGAGAAGAAGAAGAAGAAGAGATTGGATTTATACCCTGCCCTTCACTACCCAAAGGAGTCTCAGAGCGGCTTACAATCCCTCCCCTCAACGGACACCCTGTGGGGTTGGTGGGGCTGAGAGAGCTCTCTCGAGAACTGCCCTTGAAAGAACAGCTCTGAGAGAGCTTGTGACTGACCCAAGGTCACACCAGCAGCTGCAAGTGGAGGAGTGGGGAATCAAACCCAGTTCTCCCAGATCAGAGTCCGCACACTTAACCCCTACACCAAACTGGCACATAACTGCTACACCAAAAGAGAAGGGATCCTAGAGGTCACCTACTCCAACCCCCTTGCTCAGTGCGGGAAGTAGTCAACCACAGCACCCCACTCTGCTTAAAGGAGCACACGTCTTAAAAAAATGTTTTAAAATGATTGAAAAAAGCACTTACAGGAGACATTCTGGTGGGGCAGAGCCTCCCGAAAGCCCCGCTGTAGGTACGGGACTGTGCTGAAGTCTCTCCCCTCCCCAAAACCTTGCCCTCCCCAGGTTCCACACCCCCCAAATCTCCAGATATTTCACAATCCGGAGCTGGCAAAACAACTTGCCATCATGCTTTCCGTGGAGGGGGTAGAAGCGGCACCCACCTTGGCCCAGCGTGGAGGCGATGAGGGACTGGAGAGAGAGCGTCACCAGGAACGTCAGCGGGCTGGATCCGGCCATCGTCCTCCTCCCCAGCCAGAAGAGGGGGGAATGCAGAGGTCTTGGAGGGCTCCCCCCAGCGAAGACGGTCTGTCCGCGCACCCCTCTTCCCGCTGGCGGCCGCCTCCAAAACGTTCCTCCCAGGTCCTCAGCCGGAGAAGTCCTGCAGTGCAGGGTGGCCGTCCTGAAATGCACGAAGGCAAAAATCTGGATTTTACCTGGAGTGTTTAAAAAAATAACCCCAAAATGTTCAAAATCGACGGCCACTCCTGTTTTCTGCAGGAAGGAAGCTCCACCATATATAGGCATCAGTCAAGCCAGGGGTCATTTCGTAGAAAAAGAGGTGCAGGAGCACATTAGCATAACTCATTAGCATAACTCATTTGCATATGTCACACCCCCTGACATCACCGGAAGTGTGTCAGAAGGCAACACCCACCACTCAGGCTCCACTGGACTGTTTCAGATTGCTAGCTATGGGGGGGGGGACGTGCAGATCTGTCCTCGCAGAGGAGGGAGAGCTTGTGCCTGAATAAAACCTGGTTTTAAAGGTGCCACTGGACTGTTTTGGACGGGGGATCTACGGACAGGGGTCATTTCGTAGAAAAAGAGGTGCAGGGGCTCATTAGCATAACTCATTTGCATATGCCACACCCCCTGACCTCACCGGAAGTGTGTCAGAAGGCAACACCCACTAGTCAGGCTCCACTGGACTTTTTTGGGTTGCTAGCTATTGGGGGGGGGGATGTGCAGATCTGTCCTCACAGAGGAGGGAGAGCTTGTACCTGAATAAAACCTGGTCTTAAAGGTGCCACTGGACTGTTTTGGATGGGGGGCCAGGAGGGGGGCTCTGCAGCTTACCTGGCTGCTTCTTGCTCTGACTGAGGGCTGCTGGGAGCAGGTGGTGAGGCTTGTTGCATGTGCCCGCCCCCTGGGCTCTTTACTGCGGGAGTCAAGCCATGGGTATTTAAAAAAATACATGAGTAATGCCAGCAGAAACTGGCAGTCAAGGAATTTGCCTAGAGGAACATGGGAAGCGGCCTCACACAGAGTCAGACTCTTGGGTCCATCTAGCTCCGTTTCATCTTCTCCGACTGCCACCGCCTCTCCAGGGTCTCAAGCAGAGGAAGGTCTCCCCCAAGACCCACTTCGTTTTTGCTGTCAGGTCGCAGCTGATGTCTGGCAACCCCACAGAACTTTCAAGGCAAGAGATGAGCAGAGGCGGTTTGCCATGGCCCGCCTCTGCATAGCGACCCTGGACTTCCTTGGTGGTCTCCCATCCAAATACCAACCAGGGCCAACCCTGCTTAGCTTCCGAGATCTTACCAGATTGGACTAGCCTGGGACATCCAGGTCAAGGCAGAGACAAACAGAGGTGGTCTGCCATGGCCTGCCTCTGCGTAGCAACCCTGGGCTTCCTTGGGGGTCTCCCATCCAAGTAC